TTTTTTCTGAATTTATTTTGAGTGAAGTGCCCCTTCCTTGAGCCGGCCGCCGGCCACCACTCGTACTCACCGAGCGGGTTGGTCGACAGGATGATGCCGTTGTCGCACTTGGTGCACTTGAGCGAGCTCATGTGGGTGCCCAGCTCGGTGGGGTCGGCGCAGCGCGCGCAGTCGCAGTCGAAGAACTTGCTGAGCTGGAGGTGCTCGCGGCGCAGCATGGTCGGGTCGAGGGTGTGCGCGTACGAGGTGTAGAGCATGCTGCCCTTGGCCACGGCGGCCGCGGTGCGCACCACGATGCGGTAGCGCTCGCCCGCCTGGTTAGTCGGCGTGATGCAGTGCACCGTGTTGGGCACGCAGTTGTGCGCCATGATGGCGGCCCGCGGGTACAGGCACAGCACCATGCTGCCGCTCGGCGTCCGCGCCTCGTACCCGTTCACCTCCAGGATGCCGATGACCTCGTGGATCGCCTCCTCGGAGAACCTGAGACGAAGGGGACCAACCGATTGAGATTGGGGTGCTTTGGTGTGGGTTTTCCCGAGCCGTGGCGTGGCCTCTGTTTGATATTGCAGTTATGCCGAACGGCTGGCGCGACGGCACTGCTGTTTGCGAATGCCGCCCGCCCGCCGGCCAGACGCTGTGCTCACCTTGACTCCACCTTGCACTTCTTGCGCAGGAAGTCCACGACGTTCACCTGGTTGGCGCCCCACTGGGGGTTCGCTTTCCTCTTGTCCGAGTGCGTCATCAGCAACTTCACCTGCAAACAAGCGAGCTTCGCTAGAGAGCGCGCGGCGGCGGCAAGAGGCGCGCGGGATAGCGAGCGGCTCGCGCGGCTGACTCACCTCCTTGTCCCAGCGAGCGGGGTCCTTCTCCTTGGCGAGGAGCACCCTGAGCGGCGTGATGCACTCGTACTGCGGGCAGGTCCCGGCGCCCGGCTCGGCCGGCACCGCGAACCGCACGCCCGCCGCCTTGAACACGGCGCACTCGTTGTCGGCGTGCAGCGCCAGCTTCTCGCAGTCCGCGTCGCAGACGGGCCAGCCGCAGGCCGAGCACAGCGCCGAGGCGTCCACGGGCGCCAGGCAGCCCAGGCACAGCGGGTACGTGTCCAGCTTGGGGCCGACGGCGAAGGGCAGCTCGCTCACCAGGACCTCGCCGGCGGGTAGGTCCTTGCTCGCGACCGCGTACCTGCGGGCACAGGGTGTTCCGTCTATATGCTGTATGGGGGCGCCCCGCCCCGCACCGCCGCGCCCCGCTCAGGCCGCGCGCCCGCCGGCTGCCGTGTAGGCCCCCCCAACGCACGGCTGCGCGGCGGGTCTGCCTGCCTCCAGGCGGCCGGGGCGGACCGGGGCTGGACAACGTCCCTGTTTGTAACTACACGATTATAGCTACAGCCGACAGTGCCCGAGTCAGTTGAAACTGAACCGTCTATAGACGAATTTATTACTTTCGCCAATGCTAGAATATCAACCAAAAGTAAACAGCGCTAAGAACTAAAGCGAAAGATATCAATGCCTCTCCAAAGCTCTCGCCTTGTCCAAGCGCTCGGAGGGACAGGGGGCCGCGGCGGGGCCCGATTCAGGAAAGCATTGTCTACTCCAGGCGTTTTCAGCTACAATCATCGACCCATGCCGAGATTGACACGGCGTCACTTCTTAGCTTTAGAAAGGGCTTATGAGCCTGGAGTCAAAAGGAGCCTGAACCCAAAGTCCCCGTCCCGACAGACGCCTTAGAGAGACGACGTGTGGCCTACCTCGCAGGCGTCCGAGCGACAACTCGTGTCGCGGCGACACGTCCCTGTTCATGGACACAAAAATGTGGTCACAAATGGGGCAGCATACGATGTCCGACGCCACCAGCCACACGCCCCTTTTGTAGTGATACAGTTGCAGCTACAGTCGACATGACCGCATGCTGCTTCATCCGAACCAAAATTGTCGGCCCTAAGATCAACTCCCGGGCGGGGCAAACTTTTTCTTTGTCGCTTTTTGTCTCCCGTTGGGCAGGACCGAGCCCAGACCCCAGTCCCGGAGGAGCAAGCTGGTAGCCGAGGGTGCTAAAGCGTGATCGTTGGCAGATCGTGGGGATGGTCGGTAGTTCGAATCCCGTCCACGGTCATTTTTCCTGCTCTGCTGGGTGTCTTCGGGCGTCAGTCACAGCTGAGATCTGGATGCCGCCGAAAGCTGTACTCTGTATCGTTCCGTCGTGGCCAAGTCGGTAGCGTCCGGGCCTGGTATGAACCTGGTCGCTGGTTCGAATCTCGGCCGGGAGATATTTTTCGCGCTCCGCTGGCCATGACTTTACAGCCGTGCGGCACCTGACGTGATGGGCCGGTACGCAAACAGTCGCTGGTTCGAATCTCGTCGACGGAACCCTTTCGCCCCTCTGCCAGCCGGGGTGTGATGAGCCACAGCGGAGGTAAGCTTCACTTGTGCCAAAGCCTCATCATTGGCTCAGTTGGTAGAGCGCGCGCCCGGGACTCAGATGGTTGTAGGTTCGAACACTGACCGAAGCTCATTTTTCCGATTTAGTAGTTTGCGGCGCGGGGACCCAGGGTTAGGACAGAAGACCAGCCGACATGGTGAGGTGGACTTGGCCGCCTACTCAGCAGCCCCCCCC